CTAGTCATCACCACCCACCGCCAACTCTTGGGCTACTCTTTTACCAACGAATAGTGGGATTGACCGTCACATTATAACGCCCCCACGGCTGAAAGGTCGAGCATGTTTGGTGGGATGGGGATCCGAACCCGCGACCCTCAGATTGCGAGTTGAGCGCCTTATCCACCTGACCATGCCGGGCCGAGAAGAGCATAAAATGAAACAAAAACATAAATTACATTTTGTTTCTCTCCAATTATGAATCCATAAAATACAAGAATCTAAAGAACACAAACATCGAAAAACAAAACTGTATACACACTCAACTGTCACAATTAAACAATTCCCTTTGTTAAATAATAAAATAAAGATAAACACCAACTTTGGCGCCTTTTCTTTTAGCGCCTTCTAAATTTTTGAGTTTGTTTATGTATGTGTGTGTGTGTATTATAAATATAGATATTGGACATCACGTGATTAATCCTTTGGCACCACATTTGCTAATATTTTCACGAATATTTTGGATTACAAAGGATTTTACAGGTATTTTCTTTTTGGGGGGGGGTATTTTAAAACAATTAATGAAGTCGTTTTCAACTCTTTTCTTTTAATGAATATCTGATCAGTATAAAATGTAAAACGTATTTTAATGAGTGGAAAAAAATGTTATTTGTTACGATTTGGGTTCCAAGGATACTTATTGATCTGTATATAGATTGGACTACGATATCCACCATGAAGAGGTATGTGTCCTATACATACCTTAGAATAGAATGTGGTATATACTGGTATGTCCTATACATACCTGTGAATAGAATGTAGTATATACTACTATGTCCTATACATACCTGTGAATAGAATGTGGTATATACTATTATGTCCTATACATACCTTAGAATAGAATGTGGTATATACTGGTATGTCCTATACATACCTGTGAATAGAATGTAGTATATACTACTATGTCCTATACATACCTGTGAATAGAATGTAGTATATACTACTATGTCCTATACATACCTTAGAATAGAATGTGAAATTTATTACATTATTCTATAGATCAGATGCGACCATTGGAAGAGTAAGAATGTTATACTGCTAGCATGAACTTTTGTTGTTGTTTTTACCATGCAAGAATGTTTGTTGTTGTTGTTTTTGTATGCCAAGGGTAAACTTATTTTTAAAGATGTGGTCTAGATTTCTAAAACTATATTAATACTTTTGAATGAAGTGGGCGTAATTTTTCATCCAGAAATTAATCTCACAGATGGTCCCCCTTCGAACGTTTATTAGCATATCAAAGAAGCGTAAACATTTTGATAATAACTAGTAAATAACGTATTTTGAATTAAAAATTCGTTGGAAAGTTATTCAGTTTAAGACCAACCTTAAGTTGTGCATTATTGAATAAATATCCAAAAATAAGTTTTCTCATTTCTATCAAGATTAATAATTGTGAAGTATAAATAAATTATAGTCTGACTCAAAAAATCATTAAGCCTAATTTCCCTCAGATAGCGAAAAGTTAATTCTCTAACAGGCACTTAAGAAAATGATAAACATACACAGACTGACTAACAAGCTATAACATAAATTTGATAGAATTTATTTTTCTTTTGGAATTTTAATTTTTAGAAATATTTGAGAAGTTTTTATGATTGAAATTGTTCTTAACTGTGAATACTGTGTTACCATTAATAAGTGATATCAATGATCTATCTGTATACACACACACACACATATATATATATATATGTGTGTGTGTGTGTGACGTTTTCTGGGTGCATTTTGGCTAGATGCGTGTCCAAATTAATCAGATAATATGGATTTTGAAACTAAGCATTCACAGAATAGGAACCTCCGCTCTTCCAAATTTAGTTCTTAATTTATAAACTGTTTCGCTTCTATATATTATCTTGTATCAAAAGTCCAGCATTTATTCACACACACACACGATTTTCACCTTTCTCAGTAGTTTTGTTTTAAAACAGAGACGATATAATTCAGCAGCAAACAGCCTTTAAGTGGTTTGGTTTCAGTTTCATTTCCTAAAGGTAAGGCAACTTGGACTCACATAAAAGCTAAACACATACGGGAAGCTACATCTAGCTAACAACGATGATTTGTACACACAGAAAGCAGAAGAGTTGAAAAAAAAAGTTATATTGCTTTAACATTATATTCAAAAAGCTTTAGAAAATGTGGGTTTGCGACCGGTCGTGGCTTTGTGGTTAGCGTGTCCGGACTCTTATTCCGAGAATTCCTTGTTTTCGTCCCTTTGCCGTAAAAACGAACTGTTCTTTGGGGTCGTGGATGCGCTATAACAATGACTGTCAAATCCAACTATTTGGTTAGACAACAGTTGGCGGTGGCTGCTGTTGGCTAGCTCCCGTGTATCAGCTCAAAATTAGGAACGGCTATGCCTAGATGGTTCTTACATATCTGAACGTGAAAATTTAAATACCAACAATAAAAATACAGATATTTTGATATATGTACGAGATGTGTTTACAATATGTTTTGTAAGACATCTACTGCCTGTTTACGCAAGCAGCCTGGATCACATGACGTCCTGTGTTTATATCTTTTTACATTGATCACGAGGTTCTTGCATGATAGAAACCCTTTCTACCTAGGCTTTTTCCTCTAATCAAATCAAGACGTAACGCCCCCTGTTTCATCCTTTTTTCTTTCTTTTTTTATACAGTAAAGATGAAATGCGTCAGTTGTTGGAAGAGCTCGGATTTGGTGTGCGACTCGAGACGCCACCTATCGACTTGGAGCTGCTACACGATGCTGGTTGCACATGTGACGATACCGAACTACCACATCACGTCAGCAGTAGAGAGGAAATTCGCCATCTACTGGAGAAAACAACTGATTTTTTAAAAAGCCTCCCTAGACCGTCACTGGTGACAATAGCAAGGTCAGTCTCACTTGATTTTTATCAATTAACTTAACTTTCAACACAATTTCCGTCTATGAATAAAGTTTATAAAACATTTATAGTAATCACATTTCAACTATTCACGTGGTATAAATTATGTAAACAGAGGTATAAGTATACAGTATGTTGTTGTTCTTCAACTATGTATAGTTAAGATGCATCTTTAGTACGTTTCCGTTAGTTTTTAAAGAACTGGAGTTACGTGTATAACAAGATTTAAGTTATGAAAAACATTGACTTGGCTACTAAGTGGAACTAAATTCAAAACACTTTTGATACATGTACTTAAAATCATGGAGGAAGAGTGTTCTAGTGATTAGTGCTTTTGATTCGTTGTCGAAAGGTTGTGTGTTCGAGGCTCACTCACTCGCTCCATGTTGTTGTGTCCTTGAATAAGGGCCCGGCATGACCAGGTGGTTAAGGTGCTCGACTCGCAATCTGATGGTCGCGGGTTCGAATCCCCCGTCACACCAAACATGCTCGCCCTTTCAGCCGTGGGGGCGTTATAATGTGATGGTCAATCCCATTATTCGTTGGTAAAAGCCCAAGAGTTGGCGGTGGGTGGTGATGACTAGCTGCCTTCCCTCTAGTCTTACACTGCTAAATTAGGGACGGCTAGCGCAGATAACCCTCGTGTAGCTTTGCGCGAAATTCAAACAAACAAAACCTTGAATAAGACAATTCACCTCAACTGCTTCAGTCTACCCAGCTTTATAACGCATTCCAGCGGGTAGTTGGGGGTTAACTCGCAATGGAGTGACATCTCGCCCATGGGGAAATGTATTACCATTCTCATCTGCCTGTGCCATTGAAACCGGAGTTCAGCGCCGGCTCCTTTGTACGGCCTCGACAGGAAGTAGATTTAAAGTAACTTAAAATCATGTAGAATGTAGCCAACTATAATATAAACTCGGTTAAATCATCAGTTCTTAAAAATTACAGTAGGAGTTATTTGAATTCAAAATTTGTAACAAAATTATTTAAAAACCTGGGAGGAGTGGGGACTACAGTTATCGCAAACAATGTTCGAGTTATTTACTTGAAGGCGGTAGCAGATAATGAGTCAGCATGTAGGATAAAAACTAATTAGTTATTTGTATCTAGTTATGAAAAATAAGATATATGTGTAAATGAAGCATAAAAATAAAAAATATACTAATTAATAATTAGACTTAAGTAGTTCTATAAGCTATTAACCATGACAACGATTATCATTTGGTCACCTCAACCTTACTATTCGTACGTACTCAACTTAGATTAAATTGTTAAATTTTTAATATTAGTGTATAACTAATATCTCAGAGACCCCAGTGGCACATCGGTATGCCCGCGGACTTACAACGCTAGAATCCGGGTTTCGATACCCGTGGTGGGCAGAGCACAGATAGCTCATTGTGTTGCTTTGTGCTTAACTTCAAACAAACAATCAACCCCACCCACCCCCATTTCCATCACTGTACAGGACTTTCTGTCAAGTTCTTGTAGCAGAATGTCAAGGTCTCCTATGTCATTTGGTCAACAAATGAGATAACATCATTATTCAGAATTTTTATAATCCGTGAATAATACTCTGAAAGTTTACTTTAACCAAAGTTTTATTTGAAATATGAGAATCATAATCCAAGATATACAAACGTTCTAGATGTGTGTTTGTTTGTTTGTGTTTGTTTTTTAATTTCGCGCAAAGCTACACGAGGGCTATCTGCGCTAGCCGTCCCTAATTTAGCAGTGTAAGACTAGAGGGAAGGCAGCTAGTCATCACCACCCACCGCCAACTCTTGGGCTACTCTTTTACCAACGAATAGTGGGATTGACCGTCACATTAAAACGCCCCAACGGTTGAAAGGGCGAGCATGTTTGGTGGGACTGGGATTCGAACCCGCGACCCTCAGATTGTGAGTCGAGTGCTTTAACCACCTGGCCATGCCGGGCCCTAGATGTGTGACGACAGACAACTTTCATCTCAACATATATGTCCGTGTATATACGCCTGCTCATTCAATTTGTTTTTCTTTATAATTGTTTAGCAACTCTTTTAAGAACATTTTTATGTAAACAACCCTTGAGCTTAATTGATGGAGACCCCAAAGTGGTAAAATTGTTCACCCCACACCTTGGAGATCCCAGGAATTTCCCGAAAAACCCCTTCTCCTAAACTGCTGGTCCCACCAACTTCTAAATGGTGCCAAATGAATCGTTTCGGCCCCGAAGTTTGCACAAAGGTTAAAAACTTTTCACTTGACCCTTTAGGGAACCCGGATATTTCGCGAAAATTATTTTACGGGGATTCCCCGAAGCAGACCCCAAATTTGCCATTTATTTATATTAGAGCACGTAAATAAGTAGGCCTACTAATTACCGTTCGTAACTTGGTTAAATAAATTAAACTTGCATTATAGCGGCAAGATCATTAAACTGAAAAATTGCAAACTAATAGTTCAACCATTAAGTTTGCATTATAGTGACCCTGTAAATGTGGGCCATAGGTCCACGGGTTTGCTAGTCGTGTAACATTTTTAACTGGATACAATACACACTTGAGAATTTTGAACGTAAGAAATTACATCTACCGTATAAAATCATCATATAAAATATCCCTTTATAGGGATTTCATGAATAGGCTTAGGTTGATGTTTATTATTTTTAAAAGTTAAATAAAATTCCAAAATAAATCAAATAATGAAATTAAACGACTTAGGTTTTGTATTTGAAACCTGTTTTTTTTGTAACATTTAAGAGTAAAACGGCTGTAATTCGCTCGAATTTATGTCTCTTGTTGTTGTTTTCCAACGACAACAGTATGATTTTTAGGCAGGTTTTTTTTGCGATTTTTTTTTCTTCAGGGAAATGTGATCTGAATTGTATCAAAACTAAATATCACGTGGATAAAAAATTGCTGATAACATTAACAATAATCTTATATTCAAGTACTAAACTTTTCTTTAGGTTGTGGCTTCTAAAACGTGGTTTTCTTTCAATTGATTCATATCTTTCTAGCATTTTTTAACTAATAATTATAGCATATTAAAATGAACAAAATAATAATAATGTTATTGACAAAGCTCAAAGACCCGGCACGGCCAGCTGGATAAGGCGTTCGACTCGCAATCTGAGGGTCGCGGGTTCAAATCCCCATCCCACCAAACATGCTCGCCCTTTCAGCCGTGGGGGCGTTATATGTGACGTTCAATCCCACTATTCGTTGGTAAAAGAGTAGCCCAAGAGTTGGCGGTGGGTGGTGATGACTAGCTGCCTTCCCTCTAGTCTTACACTGCTAAATTAGGGACGGCTAGCGCAGATAGCCATCGTGTAGCTTTTCGCGAAATTCAAAACAAACAGCCAAAGCTCAAATATTCCACGGTTGAACAGCGGTAAGTTTACGGATTTACAGTACTTAAATACTGGCATCAATTTCCCACCTAGGACAGTGTGCTGATAACCAATTGTGCAACATTGCGCTAAAAATCAACAACAACGACAAAGCTCGAGGTTAATGACTTTTTTTAATGACTTGGTTCGTGGTGCGATATTAACCAAACCAGTTGTGTAATTTTATATTTGATTGATTTTATTGTTTTTAAATTCCATATACATACGTGTTATAAATAGGCTAGTGTTTCATATTAGGTCGAAATGATTAACCAGGGTTGTTATCGTCAAAAAAAAAATGCCCCCCAGTGACACAGCGGTATGTCTGCGGACTTACAACGCTAGAAACCGAGTTTCGATACCCGTCGTGAGAAGAGCACAGATAGCCTATTGTGTAATTTTGTGCTTAACTTCAAACAAACAATCGTCAAAAATTGAGTTGATTGGGATAAGCTGAACAAAAGCACCAAATTTTGCATAGTGATTCCTTTGTTTATTGACAAGATTTTGGGAAGGATACATTGAAAGGAACACTTCAGTGTTGCTTTTTTAAAGGTGTTTTCCATGTGCACCCTATATTCGCAATACCGGAAAACCCGAGTTTTATATGCTTACGTTTATAACTATATATAATCATAATATTGTATAATGCATTTAAAGTACTAGATGAATTTGGTGGATGATTGATCAGTCGAAGACCAATTTTGTTAGTGAGAGGTCTAAAGTTGATAATCATATGTGGAAGCCAAGATGGCTTCCATCCGTTTTACGTTAGGACCTTAAGACAACAAAGGAAGTCCCTAAAACTATAACAATAATCAATAGAAGAATCATCTATATGAACAGCAAAGGTATTTTGGTAATAAAAAATGACTCAAAACTAAAATAAAATCTGACCGACTTGGAAATGAATATGATAATAATTCATATCATGTTTTATGCATCATTATTATTATGCATTTGACAAAACAACCAGTTGCTGTTATATGGTTTATTACTTTCTTTGTTTCACATGTGGAGATGTGAGCCAAACCTATTGCAGAAAATGAAATGTATCATGTGCTGGGAAAGTTTAGTATAATGTGCATCTCAGACCCGCTTGAAGGAAGTGGCTCAGCACTTTGAAGTGGTTTTTGTTAACCTCTTTTGGAATGCTGTCCGTATAACTGGCTAGCTCTGAAAACTTGAAGCAGAACATACCATCCTCAACATTATTTTCTATCTAAGTAATTAGGTTTGCAAAGGCCTGAGCTTGAATAATGGTTTCTTCTCTTTGGGTGCCTTAGATGTTCAGAATTTGCCTTTTCATGGATCGATGACGATTCCTAAGTTCTGTGGCATCCAAAATGATACTTTTCTTCCAATGCAATGAGATCACCGCCCTCTATTTTGTCCAGTAGCTTCGCATCTTGCAATTCTATGGCCATATATCGGGCATTTTTATCAGCATTAAGAGTCCTAAACTCGTGAAGATGACCTCCCTATACTGACAAAAAATACAAAGATGACTGTCCAGTGCTCGGCGTTTTCCTTTGCCGTTTTCTCTTGTTCATTACTTTCTTCTCACTCCTTCTTCTTGGAGTCTTTTTCCAACTTGTCTATATTAAATC